CGTCTACACTGGCCCCTTTTCCGGAAGGGGCATGTAAATTTCACCAGTCGTCGTAGGGAAATCCGCCTCTTATTCCTACTTCGAAGTAGGAATAAGAGCCTCCGGAAAAGGGCGCTTTTTCCGGAGGATCGGGGCCAGTGTAGACGCTCTTTTCCGGCTTTTTTAAAAGCCGGAAAAAAGCGGCGGACATTTTTATTTAAATGCCGCGGGGGATATTTAAATCCCCCGCGGATTTCCCTACTACGATAGGTGAAATTAACATGCCCCTTCCGGAAAAGGGGCCAGTGTAGATGTAGCCAGTAAGTCTTCTAGTCTAAACAATATTTAAGAAAACACCGCATGCTGTAGGAAAAGGAAACTCTTCAGGATAGCATAATACTACTTTGCATTTACCTAGCGCCCTCCGCCTGCACATGTTTAAGTGCTTTACAAACAATAGTGAGTTAATCCTCAGAGCACACCTTGTTATAATGCCCATTTCACAGTTGGGCTATATAATGCTCATCAGGGCAAACTGTGAGTCAGTGGCAGAGTGAAGAACAACCACTCCTAACAACCAGTTCTTCTGCTCTAAGCACCAGATGATCCTGCCTCTATCTAGGTAATTTTTTAAAGAGAAAAAGGTTCCAGAAAAGGGGGGTAAGGGCGTGAGTGCTCTGATCAAGTGCCACCATTTCGTGGACAATGCTAAGCTTCAATATTTTGCAGTTTATCCTATTGTCTCGGACTGAGGGTGAAATTAAGATCCAGAAGAGACCCTGAGCCCAAAAGGATTCTCCTCCGACCCTACTGCTCCAGAACAGAGCTGTGTTCCACAGTACAGCAGCCTGTGGAAACCCGGGATGGCACAACCATAGAATGGAGAACACAATGAGCTTCTCTCCCTAACAGGCATCCTCTTCAGCTGCCACTAGAATCCACTGGCCAAGTCGGAGACGAGATCGATGCACTCTGAGCCCACATACTGTCCTATGGCCCACCCAAACTCATCTGAGGAAGTGGGTTTTGCCCATGAAAATTCTCTCTCTCTCTCTATATACACACACACACACACACACACACACACACACACACACACACACACAGGCAAAGCTCCAGCTATTCCCCATCGGTCTTGTGCTACGGGCGGGTTGTGTTAGCCTCAGAGGCTCGCTGTGGCCCTCCACATGGCCTCTTGCTCTTTACTCAAGGCAGGAGCCACAGCCTACTAGGCCATAGTCATCACAGGCTAGTTCATAAGTTTGGGGTAACAGCCCCTCTGGAGTCCTGATCTGCCTTTGCAAGGCAGAGGTTGAGATGTTGTGGGGAGGTGTGTGGGGACCCCAGGTCCACCCACTACTCTAGGTTCTGGCTTACAGCAGAGTTACTGCCACTTGCAATCAGGCAGCTTTTCCCTGGGCCGCTTCCCCAGACAATCCCTCCCAGCACCTTTCCTTTGGTACCTGCTCATCAGTCCTCTGCTTGCACCCACACAGCACTTCCTCCTGGCTGTCCTTTGCTCTTTTCCTCCCCCCTTCCTTGCCTGGGGGAGACCTTTTAAAGTGGCACCAAAGGCCTTAATTGGCGGCAGGTGTTTAATCAGCCTGTATCTTCCATGAAGCTCTAATCGACCTCAGGGTGCCTGCCTGATTATGCTGCTGGTAAGTTTGGGGCTTTTTTTTTTAAATCAGGGAAAAGAAAGCAGTTCACCCAAGCCCCAGCATGTCTTCCCTCCATCAGTGTGCGGCAGCTGCTAGTCTGGCTCTGTCATAATATATAATACATATTTCTTCATCTCTAAGGGTATGTCTACACAGCGGTGCTATTTCGGGATAAAGTCTGTTATCCCAAAATAGCATTGTGAATGTCTTAACAGCACACCTGTTATTTTAAAATAACAGACCGCTTATTCGAGCTTCTTGTAAACCACATTGCGTGAGGAATAAGGAAGATGCTGGAATAGCACTAATTTCAAAATAGGCTGCCTCGAAATAAGGCACGCAATTTGTGTGGGTCAAATTGCATAGCTTATTTTTGAGCTATGCGTGACTCTGTAGATGTACCCTAAGGTGCACTAGGACTAGGTCATGTTTATGGTGATTTCACCTGACCCAGACCAGCCGCTGGCAGGCCCTGGTGGTAGGTCAAGCCCTAAACTGAATGTCTGGCTCAGGAACAGGATGACTCTGGTCATGGTCCTGCTGAGCACTTCTTGTAAGGCATTGCACAACCCTGACTCCCAGTGATTTCCATGGGAGCCACAGACTCCCAGAACCTCCCTGGATCAGACCTTCTGCTAATGACCTCCTCAGCAGTAACCTTCACAGAGACACTTTAAAAAACTCAATGCAACTTACATCATCCTGACAGCTCAGCGGACACACGCCATCCACATCACTGCACTGGAAAGAAACAGGTGAAGTTAAACGATGTCAGTGCATCATCTGTTAGTACATCCTCTGGAGGCTCCCCGACAAATGGTCTACATCTCACAGCTGGGTCCAGATCGATGAGTGTGTTACCACTTTGAAAGAGACTGTCTGTGCAGCACACACTTAATGCCTGCCATGGAGGCCAGCAATGGTTCTGCTCTCTACCCATAGTCTAAGTCCTCAAAATAACAAGTCTTGTCTTCACTGAATATAACATGTAAGCCTGCCTCTGTCTCCTTTTCCCACTCTGAACAGGGCCTTACTCTTTGCATAGGGACTGCTCATAGAGCAAGGCCCTACTCAGGGCTTGTCTGTCCTGTCAATACGTGGCTAGCTGAGGCAGAACACTACAGCACTCTAGCTTGCTGAGCACTAACTGGCTGTGTGGCTCTTGCTTCGCCAGACAAGCATGTCAGAGTGCACTAAGGGAACTTGTAGTGGGGTCATCTGAGGCACTTTAACGGGTGGCAGGCTAGAGCGCTGTATGTGCACAGCCTAGCTTACCACGGGCTGACTGGCAAGCCAAGTCCTCAATGTAAATGTGTCAAAAATCAAACCCTCTAGTATTAATAACAAAAATTATTACACATTGGAGAGAAACCATAGGGCAGGCATGTCCAAAGTCCGGCCCGCGGGCCAATTGCGGCCCGTGTTCCGGTTTAATATGGCCCCACAGGTAATTTGGCAATATCTATCTTTTATGGCCCCCAACGAATCCATATGTATTGAGATGAATACATTGTAAAATCTCAGTTAATGTCAGTTGGTCTAAATCAGTTATAAATATATTTGGACACAACATGTATACTTGGTGTTATGTTCCTGTTCATATTTTTTGAACTTAAAAGTTGACAGACAACCTTTATTACCAATAATATGTAATGTACTTTACAATGTTCCTGACATATATTTCAGCTTCCTGGATTTTTTTTTTCATCTTGCCTTCAGATATGAAAGGCAGAGTGACTTAACACCTGTTTAGATTTGTCATCCATGTGACGAAATGAAAAGTATGCCGTTTGCAATAAACTTTGCATAAAATAGTTAATTTGCATTTAATTTTAATGGTTCAAAGAATGTCAGGCAAAATGGTCGGCCCTCACGCATGTTCACGTCATCAAATCTGGCCCTCTGAAAAAAGTTTGGACACCCCTGCCATAGGGTGTGTTTTTATGTCTCCCAGCATCTGCACCAAATAAAGGCATTATGTTTTAGGGAGGGACTATTCTCAGGCAGAGTTTTTTCCAAACAGCTAATGACACAATAGAATTTGAATGTGCTCCGTGAGTAGCCTCAGGCACAATCCATTTTGTTTCATTCAAGGATCTACAGATACCAAAGTTGACGTGTGTGTCACACCATTGAACTGGATAGGGACAAGAGGAGTTAAACAGTGAGTAACAAAAGCCTCCAAGTGCTTATTCATTTCATAACTATTCCATGTTTGAGGTGACTGCCTGTATCTGTCTCTTTGTGTTATCTAATGTTATTTTCCTTGGGGGCTGAGGAGGGAAAACAGTGTTGCCAATTTCTCTACTTTGGGTTCCCTTCCTTCCATGGCTTTTCTGAGATTGGGGGAAGAATAATGACAAAGATGACAAGTCTTGCCTACTGTGGATCAGCTGCTGATTATTTAAAAACTGCAATAAATTATATATATTTAAAAAATAACTCCCTCTCCACTTGCGCTTCCTGGATGTGTCTAAAAAGCTGCAGATGAATCAGCCTTTCTAGTCACCATTAAACTATTAATTTCAGTTAGTGTTGTTTCCCATCTCAGGATTGGCATCCTATAGGCATATTTCAAAGGACAATCAAAGAATTTTGGTAGTTTCAGGCTCCATGGCTCCATGTATCTTCATGCCACAACTACAACAGTTCTTCACATCTTAATAGTTTAATAGACAATGACATTATATTGATCCATTGATGTGAAGGTGCAAATGTTGCCATATCATGATAGGATTATTTCATCCCACATGATATATGCAAAAAAATTGACAGCCCAAGACGACACTGGATTTGCTCTGGCTTGTCTGGCTTACAAAATATGACCATAATTAACTCAACAGTATTATTCATAGGGATGGAGATTAACAAACTAAGGATAAGTCAATTGAGTTAACTCCAGGGATAGTTTGGGCCTGTAATGTCTTTTGGCTCATTGTGTCTTTTGGCTCAGGGTTTGAAGTGATTTCTCAGAACTACTGGCTCCACCATCACCCAGGGATGGAATTTTCATTATACTCTAACAACATTTCAGGGGTGTGAAAGTTTGTGTAAATGAGATATGGATGCAAGCTGCAAATACCTGGATCCAGATTTTAGACATCTCAAAGGTTAAGGCTGTTCAGATCTGAGGGTTTAGTTGAGCCTAAGATAAAGTCAGGGGCCACACAAAATTCAAGTCCAGATCCATGTTCAGATATCAAGCCCTTCCTGCAAAGTAAAGGTCCCAGGTTTTGGTTTGAGCCTATCTCTAGTTTTTATAAACAATGAGTAGTCCTGTGGCACCTTAGAGACTAGCAAAAATCTACATAGTATCATGAGTTTAACTTCAACTCACCTGCAGTGGGTTTTGCCCACCAAAGCTTATAATACTATATATATTTTTATTAGTTTCTAAGGTGCCACAGGACCTCTAGTTTTTATAATGTTATTGTGCCTGCTGATGAGAGTAGCAGAGAAGTGTTTTCTAATAAAGTACACATGGAAAAGTGAATAGTCTTCCAAGGTAACGTTTGAATTTATCAATAAGATTGTATCATCCTGTCAGTGGCCAGCTGGGGACTGGCTCAGAGAAGAGTGATGTAGCAGAATTTGACGGAACCTGAGAGTTCAGATGAGAATCCCAAATAAATTTAGGAGAATTATTTTCAACATGAAAGACCCCACAATACCCATTCCCAATTCATGTACGCCCATCTACATGCATAAATTATAGCAATGTCGTTAATAGCATTTGGATAGATTCTCATCTCAGCATAAGCATAAATCTGGAAGAACTCTCTTAAAGCCTTTGGAAGAAATAACTCTGGGTTTGCAGCAGTGGGAATTCTTGTTTATTGCTCGAAAAAGACCGGGAAATGTATATAAAAAACCCACAGGGTTGTGGATAGTTTAATTTGTTCTCCCCATTAATTTGAGACTGCTGCTTCAAACATTTCTGCATCACTACTCCTTCTCCAGGGACCAATCCACATGAGGCTCTGTGGTGTCTCAGCTGGGACTCTGAATCACTACGCTCCAGTCTACTTTAAGCTTTGGCAAAGTTACTGCAAAGGCAAAACCACAAGATAAGTGGGCTTGACCTATCTGCAGCTACTACAACCAAGGGACAGCATATACAATACGATGACAGAGAAAATACATGTGACAAACAAAGCATCACAGAACACAGGCAGGGACGCAGCAGGGAACTGTGGGCAATCTCTCTGTCCTGAGCGCCTGTCTACTTACATCAGTGTCATTGGGCTGCGAGGGAGTGCGGTATGCGGAGCAGTGCAGTATGTAGGAGAAAGATGGAGAAAAAGCAACAACAAAACATTCATTAGTGACTCCTTACTGAACTGCTGGCTTGTGCCAGTCAGTCGGGCAAACTTCTCTTTCCCATGAGTGAGTGTCAGGAACAAGACTGCAGCCCTGATGCAAGAACCACCTTTCAGCTTCTTTATTCTCCCTTCCCAGGCTCATTTCACTCCTGGGAGTGAATGTATGTGAATTTATTTTTACTTTCTGGGGTCATGTCCCCCAGAAGGTTCTTGGACAACCTCCTTTTAATAAACTGCTTTTATAAACCTCCAAGGAGCTCCTTCTCATGGGAATCTTCCCCCAGATGACAAAGGGGGTGCTGTAGTCATTATGAACAGAACAGATTATGAACAGGAGGCGACCAGACAACTCACCAACACCAGATTCTACAAGCTTCTCTCCTCTGAGCCTACTAAAGAATACCAAAAAAACCTAAAAGAACTGCTCATGAAGCACAAGCACCTCTCCTAATTCCCGACCAGAAGTTTTCTATCTGCTACCCAAGACACACAGGCTGCATCTAGACTACAGCCACGTTCTTTCGAAATTAAATCGAAAGAACGCAGCTTTTCTTTCAATGGTGGTACTCCTCATTTCATGAGGAATAACGCCTTTTTTCGAAAGTGCTCTTTTGAAAAAAGGTGCTATGTAATGCAAACTGTGCTTTTTCAAAAGAGCATCCAGAGTGCCTGGGTGCTCTTTCGAAAAAGCTGCTTGCTTTTTCGAAAGTACTGATTGTAGTCTAGATGCTCTTTTTCGAAAGAATCTTTTTCGAAAAAGCCTCTTTTGAAAGAGGCTTGCAGTCTAGATGTCAATCCTGGACAATCCATCCTCTCAAGCATTGGCACACTTACAACAGAATTATCAGACTATATTGACTCTCTCCTCAGACCCTATGCTGCCAGCACATCTACCTGTCTGAGACACCACTGACTTCCTGAGGAAACTACAGAACATCAGGAATCTTCCTGAAAACACCATCCTGGCCACCATGCACATTGAAGCTCTTTACACCTACATTCCACATGAAGACAGATTACAGGCTATTAGGAACACTGTCCGCAATGACATCATTGCACACTTGGTTACAGAACTCTATGACTTTGTCCTCCCCCACAACTACTTCCAATTCAGAGACAATTTGTATCTTCAAGTCAGCGGCACAGTTATGGGAACCCGCATGGCCCCACAATATGCCAATGTCTTTATGGATGACCTTGAACAATGTTTCCTCAGCTCTAGCCCTCTGGTACCCTTACTCTACTTACGCTACATTGATGATATCTTTATCATATTGACCCATGAAAGAGAGACCCTTGAAGAATTTCACAGGGATTTCAACAATTTCCACCCCACCATCAACTTCAGCCTGGATCAGTCAACATGAGAGATCCATTTCCTTGACAATACAGTACAATTACATGATGGACACATTTACACCACCTTATACTGGAAACCTACTGACCGTTACAATTACCTTCATGCCTCTAGCTTCCATCCAAGACACATTTCTCAGTCTATTGTTTATAGCCAAGTCCCAAGATACAACCGAATTTGCTCCAATCCCACAGACGGAGACAAACACCTACAGGATCTATATAGAGCATTCTTAAAACTGAAATACCCACCTGGTGAAGTTAAAAAAACAACCCACAAACAGATCGACAAGAGCTTGAAGAGTACCAAGACATGAATTACTTCAAGATAGGCCAAAAAGAGAAAACAACAGACCACCACTTGTCATCGCCTACAGCCAACAATTTAAACCCCTCCAATGCATTATCAACAATTTACAAACTATCCTGGAAAATGACCCCTTACTCTCACAGGCCTTGAAGGAAAGGCCAGTCCTTGCCTACAGACAACCCCCTAACCTCAAACAAATTCTTTCTAGTAACCACGCAGCAAACCTCTGTCATAATCATACAGGAACCCACCCCTGCAATCAGCCCCGGTGCCAAATCTGTCCACACATCTACACAAGCGATTTCATCATTGGAGCCCAACACATGAGCCACTACATCAGAGGCTCATTTAACTGCACATCCACTAATGCAATCTATGCCATCAAATGTCAACAATGCCCCACTTCCATGTATATTGGCCTAACTGGACAGTCTGCGGGAAAGAATTAATGGACACAAATCAGATATCCAAAAAGGCAACATGTTGAAACCGGTTGGGAAACATTTTAACTTGCCCGGGCACTCATTAATGGATCTCAAAGACACCCTGTTGTTTCAGCCCAATTCCACAAGCCAAATACACAGAGAAGCATTGAAACTTAACTTCATTTACAAGTTTGGGAGCCATCAAAAATACATGAATAAAGACATTACCTAGCTAGCACATTACCTTCTACATCTGCCATTCTGCCCCCCCCCCCCCCCCCCCCAAATAAAAACTCTTTTCCATTCCCCTCAGGCTTTCCAGACATAGTGACTGGTTTCCTGAGCTTGGATCAGAATAATTCAAACCTGGTGGTCACAGTTCCCTCTGCTGGCCCTCACTTTTCCATCTGAAGAGACACCTTTCCTCAATATGTTGCCCATATTCCCTAATACAGTGGTTCTCAAACTGTGGGTGAGGAACCCAAAATGGGTCATGACCAATGTTCCCTCTAATATTTTCCATCCATGTGTGGAAGATTTTTCATGCACCAAGGCATGTGCAAATGTGTACCACCAGGAGAAACAAAAACCCATCTCAGGGCACTTTGCTAATAAGCTGGGTGGCATTTGAATCCTTTCTGAGCAGCCACACAGGCACACAGTTTATAGGAAACACTGATCACAAGTAGGGATGTTAAATTTTGATTAATCAGCTAATCGAGTAGTCGATGGAATTTCCATTGACTACTTGATTAGTCGAGAAGGGGGAGGTGGGGCACTCGCCATCCCAGCTGTGCCTCTGCCTTTTAAATGTAGCAAGAGCCCTGAGAGGTTAGAAACTAGCACAGCTTAGCAAATTCCTTCTCTTCCTCCTCCTTCTTCATCATAGCTGTCATCAGCATAGTAAAGGAGGGCAGGGAGGTTTTGTGCCCAAAATTACAGATTTCCATGATGGTTACGAAAGGCTGAATGAGCGCAAGCCTATTTCCACAATTAATGTGTCAGCTGCAGCGGAGTTAATGCCAGGCCAGGATTCTGACACTATTAACACGGCGTTCCTAGAACAGACTTGCAGCTCATGCAGCATTAGAGCCATCAAAGGCTTAGAGAAATGTGTAACTTAAAACTAATCTACCACATAAGTCTGTTTAATACAAATTTCACAAAAGCCCTCATGGAAATGCCACCAGAAATCAATGTGCATAGCATGGGACAAGCAAAAGAAAAGTGGTGAAATTGTATCTCGGCAGAATTACTGCCAGTCCTACCTGCCGCGTAGCCATCCAGAACTTGCGTTGGAGTAATTCCAACTTAATTTGCACGCCCACAGCTACAGGGAAACAAAAGTAGGAAGGGAGGGCAGAGGGTGAGAGAGAAAAATAACTGCAAGTTAAGAAAGGAAAAAATATTTGCATGAAACAGCGGGAAGAAATTGTAATCACAACTTGGTTCCAAGTGTAAATGACGATCTGACAGGTAAGCACTGAGTCAGACAGTCAAGTGAGAGTCAGAGGTTTAACAGGGTGGGAAAAAAGGAGGTGTCAATTGCTGTATTGAAATATTGACACCTCCCTCCCACTAAACACTACAAAGCTACATACAGATAAAAATGGCTTTGCTCTTCGGCTGTCAGATATTTCCAGGCCAAGATGGACTGTTATGATCATCTAGTTGGATCTCCTGTGTATAATGCATTTTGACTCAGAAAAGTAGGCCAGTGGTAGGAGTGGGCTTGAGGCTCCAGCCTCTGGGGGGACTGCAGCCTGAATAAAGACTACATCTTCTCCACAAATTAAGCCATAATTGTAGGCATGGTAGGGAAGATGTGGCAGCATGGACTTTAACATAGGATAACAACCCAAGAATGTACCGTGCTCCCCAGTGGGCTAACCGGGGTGGCTAACCTGCACTGAAACTGGGCTGCTGTGTCTTCTATGTCAGCGGTACACAACCCGTGGGTCGTCTTCCTAGGGAGGTGCTTTAAATTAAAGTGGCTGCAACAAAAAGATCTCTAGTTTTGTTTTTTGCTCAACAAATTTTTTTCCTGGTTCTTGGGGGTTGTGAATGAAAAAAGGTTGAGCACCACTGTTCTCTGTTGTTGTTACCCATGCTTGCCAGATTAAATAGTTTACCATGATACCCTAATCTGTGGTGTAGATGTGCCCCCTAGGCCATTCTCGATCAACCATAAAAGCTGTAAAGCACTCAGAAATATAATACAAGTCAGTGGAAAAGGGGAGATTTTAAATCAGTGGTCTCCAACCTTTTTAACCACAAGATCACTTTTTCAATTTAAGTGTAATGTAAGATCTAACTCAAACCCAAATTCCCACTTCCTTCCCACCCCTTCTCTGAGTCCCTGCCCCTGCTCTACCCCTTTTTTGAGCCCCCTCACCCTACTCACTCCATCTCCCTTCCTCCCCCACCATCATTCACAAGGCTGGGGTAGGGGGTGCAGGCTCTAGTCTTGGGCCCAGGAGTTTGGAGTGTGGGAGGGATTCTGGGCTTAGCCCAGAGTGGGGGATTGGTGTCCAGGAGGGGTTTCAGGGTGCAAGCTCTGGGAAGGAGTTTGGATGCAGGGAGACTCATGTCTGGGGCAGGAAGTTGGGTGTAGAAAGAGATTCAGGGATGGGACAGGGGTTCAGGAAGCAGGTTTTGGCTGGGCACCATTTAACTGAGACAGCTTTCAGGTGGTGGAGCAGTGGGGTTAAGGCAGGCTTACTCCTGCCCGGCCCTGCACCACTCCTGAAAGCAGCTGCATGTACAGCAGTGTCTGCATGGTGCCATGTGCTGCCCCTCATCTACAGACACTGAGCCCACAGCTTCTACTGGCCACAGTTCTCCATTACTGATCAATGGATACTGCAGGAGTGGTGTCTGCAGGCAGGACAGCATGGGGAGACCCCCTGCTCTGCCTTTCTCAGGGCCTGCAGAGACATGCCAGCCCCTTCCAGGAGCAGCAATTACCACAGGGATAATGACTCCAGCCAGGGCAGGTTAGGCATTTTAGAACTCACTACTCAAAGAATTACATTTAAGCATAAGAGAGAAATGAAAATTACGAAATGGACAGACCAGTCAAACACCAAAACTGACTCACTTTGCAAGCAGTAAAGTAGTAACACCCCCCCACCCGCCATGTGTGTGTTGAGTTGGGAGATGATAGTGCAGGACAGTGTGTGTTTGTGAGAATGACAGACACACACACAGGCTGTGTCTACATTGGCACCCCTTTCCAGAAAAGGGATGCTAATGTAGACTTTGGAATAGGCAAATCCGCGGGGGATATTTAAATCCCCCGCGGATTTGCCTATTCCAAAGTCTACATTAGCATCCCTTTTCCGGAAAGGGGTGCCAATGTAGACACAGCCACAGCGTGAGAGTGACAGAGATTTGCATTGCCAGGCTCCATCCATCCCCTTCTCTCTGTGTGGAGATAGGGTACAGAAGTGGGGGGAGAAGGGACACCCTGACATCAGCGCCCCCTCCTTCTCCTTCCCACAGCCTGCATAGTAAGCAGGAAACTCCTGGGGCATCTCCAGGCAGGGGCAGGAGCAGCATGACAGCAGGCAGATGGGCAACTGAAGTGCCAGCACTTGATAGCTTCCTGGCCAAACCAGTCCTGATCACCTGTCAGAGGCTCCACGATCTACTGGTAAATCCCGATCTTCTGGATGGTGACCACTGTTTTAAATCACTGACTGCTGTTTCCAGCTACGTTCACCTTCCCCTAGAGCAGCCAAAGGGTATTCTTTCATCAGTCTTGCCCTGATTTTGTGCCTCACCCCTTCCACACACTGGCACGTCTCCACTGTCATGTCCTCTGTAAAGGCAAAAGGTATATGTGCAGTGTCTCTCTGCAGGACATAGGAATGTCCCCAGCAGTACATACTATGCGGTAACAAAGATTAACAGGGGCAAGTGTCAACCCCAGCCAAATCAAAGGGGCCTGCAAATAATCCAACCCTAGAAAGGATCTTAAAATATGATAAAGAAGAAAGTGAGGCAGAGAGGAAAACAGGAGAGTCAGGGCCTGTTCCCCTCCAGATTTACACCAGTATAAATGAGAGGAAAATCAGGTTTGGTTAGTTCTTTAAGTCTATATTGTCCTACTTTATGTGCAACTGAGTGAACTCCTTGATCTGATGTAATTTAGTTGCGAAGGAATAAAATCCAGAGAGTGCAATTAGATCTTGTCATGCTACGTGCACAAAGAACCTGGCAGCTGGCATCATGACCATGGTACCCCATTTCTGCTTGTAGTGCCCTGGTGTCAGCATCCTTCCTGTCACATCCTTACTGCTAGTATATCTTACAAGATCCCACTTTACTGGAATGTTTTTATCCATAGCTTCGTATTATAGAATGGATCTGACTGCTGTGAAATGGGGAAAAGAATTGTTTTCTGCAGCTGCCTTCTCTCTAAACCCTAGACTACACAGCCAGAAAAGACATACGATCCGATTAAGATTCATTTGGCTCTAAGTCTCAGAATATAATGGAAAAAGAAAGAACAGGGCTGAATTCAGCCCTGGTGTAGTTTGATTGGCTTCAGCTGAGTTACCTCAGGGGTGAATTTGGCTCAGTGGCCTCAAAGAACCAATCTGTTTTGGAGCGTGATAGAGCGTAAATGAGGTTGTTGCTGTTGAGTCCATCTAGAAGATGGGCAGATTTTGTACAAAGATTTTAATAAATTCCTTGTTAGACTTTTAAACCATCTCAAGCAAGAGTCATTCCACCTATCACAGCAGATCACATCAATGAGAGTGAACATTACCAAGGACATGCAGATTGTACAAAAGCATTGGTACTGGGACAACTAACCTTGGAACAGTTATTGAGAAGCTAGGGTTTTTGCCAAGAGGAACCTCAGTGCTGAAATGTTTTTCAAAGGGAATTTAAACTGGATCACATGAATTCTTTTCTCCTCAGCCTGGAGGGTGCAAATGACTTCCACTGTGGAGTTACTTATGTCCAGGGGGACGGGAAGGGGAAACAGAGCAGTTGGCTTTGCAGTGATGCTTTGTGGCATGCTTTGTGGCAACCAAAATAAACAAAAATCCATCACTTCTGTCTTTCCTGGGCTACCCAATAGCTAGTTGGGTACCCTGGCTACCCTGCAGCCAGTTCTCTCCCTTCTGGGCAGTCTGTCAGCTTTCTCTTTCTTCTTTGCATGTGGCCTTGGCCATTGAGTGAAGCTACCCTCCCCTTTGCACACAGCTTGGAAGTTAGCCCTCTCCTTTCCAACAGCTAGTCCCCCTTCCTTTTAGTGGTCTCCTGTTGATATGACCCAGTAACCATTCCCTCCCATCCCATGGGCCTCACACCCACTCACATCTCCTGGTGGCAGGACTACATGGAAAGGAAAGAAAGTGTAATTTAAAGCAGTGCAGGGTCTACTTTAATATACTCTGTGGCCTATCTTGCTCTGGCTGGTCTCAGGGGAACAGGAGTAGGAAAACCTGTCCCCTTCTTGTGCCTTGTCTGCTGACTGAACTCCCCCCTGTCCTTGCCCATGTGGAGGGTGGTAGTGGTTCTCAGTGGGGCCCACATTAGTCTCCTCTGCATTCATGTTGAGCCTGGTGGTTTGAGTAGGAAGAGGCAGGGGACAGTGTCTCAGGCTGTGTCTAAACTTGGAGCAAGATTCTCAGCTCATATAGACATCCTTGTGCTAGCTCTCATCAAGCGAGCATGCTTAAAATAGGAGGCTACGTCTACACTGGCACGTTCTCATGCAAAAACTCTTTTGTGGAAGAGTTCTTCTGCAAAAACTTTTCCAGAAGAGAGCGTCTACACTGGCATGTGCTTTTGTGCAAGAGCATCCATGCCAGTGTAGACACACTCTTGCGCAAGAAAGCTCTGATGGCCATTTTAGCCATAGGGCTTTCTTGCGCAAGACATTCATGTTGCCTGTCTACACTGGCCTCTTGCGCAAGAACAGTTGCCCAAAAGGGCTTATTCCTGAGTGGGACCATCAGAGTTCTGGCACAAGAAGCCCTGATTTCATGCATTAGCATGTCAGTTTACTTGTGCAAGAACACGCGGCCAGTGTAGACAGGCAGCAAGTTTTTGCGCAAGAGCGGTCGCTTTTGTACAAGATCACGGCAGTGTAGACACAGCCATAGTGTAGCCATGGTAGCAGCAACACAGGTTAGCTGTGCTAAGTACAAACCTACATGAACCCCAGGGATTTGTACTCAGAGGGGCTAGCTCATGCAGCTGCTGCCCATGCTACATGCTACCCTGGTTACACTACCATAGAGCTAATGCTAGTGTGCAGATGTCACATAAGGGGCAGGAAGCAGTGGTGGCCTGGCTGTTCTGCCAGCTGGTCATACTCTGGAAGGGGCGAGGAGGAAGGCAGAAGGCAGTGACACAGAGTCAAAAGACAATGAGTCTCAAAAGTTTAGACGAGAGGAAGGAAAATCTGGTGCTCAAAAGTTACTGCATGCCCCCAAAGAATAGCAAACTGAGACCCTCCTTTCCTCCAGCACCAGATCTGAAGTCTACTCTGCTGTGAAATTCAGGGTGACTGTAGAATATAGCATAGCATCTATTATAAAGACCTAGAGATGACCATGGACAACAGTGTTATTCTACTGGCATGTTAATAACTTGAGTGACTGTTGTTCTCCTGTGGTGGAATAAAATAGGTGACGGACGATAATGTAATATATGTTACATGGCTAGTCAGAGATTGCTTTACCACTGATTAGTTACGCAGACATCCCAAGGTCACGTGTAACTTCCCACCAGTCGGTGTCCTTTTTTCACTACAAGCTGAGCATGCCCCTGCAGTACTACTGCAACTCTGAGAAACCACATGCTACTGCTCAGCACGTTGTTTATACCATTCCTCTCTACCTGTTCATTCCTCCATTCGCCATGTCTATTGTCATTAACTCATCCTCCATCTGTCTGTCTCTCTCTGTCTGACTTTGCTTGGGTTGTCTCTTTGATTATTCATATGTCTTTCGCATAAGGAGCTTTCCTCAAGATTTCATTCTGTCTACCTCATAACAAAGAGCCATAACAAAGAGTGATAAGATTACAGCCAGTAGACTGCTTATCAAGATGTACCTTACCAGTCAAAAGCTTTTGCTGTCACAGCAGCTGGCTCACCATTTAAATAAAAATATTCCCATGAAAGATTTTCCTAGAGCGGCGGAGAGTCCTTCCACCCCCTCTTTTCCTCATTCTCATTTCTCTGACTTGTCACTGAAATATTTACCCACTTCTTTTCTGTTGCTAGTGTGAGACAATGGAGCTCCTACAGGGATTAATTTGGCCTTTTCTCTCTGAGTGACCAAAGAACTAAGAAACATTTTGCTTAAAAATATAACTTCAGGCCAGACTAAAAATGATCAAAAGAAACTACAGCAAACACAGCCTGCCAAAGGAATTGGAGCTTGGAGATGTCAACTCACAGGGGCATGGCCAAACAGGATTATGGATTCACTTCACAACAAAGTTGATTAGGTATAGTTGCTTTTATTAATCTCACTACATCACTACTATTATAGAGTTAATACTGTCAAATGGTTACACAGCTACTGCAAAGTGACACATCAGTAAGCACAGACAGAGTAATGCATAAAAGAGTAACAGGCACTTAGAAATGCTTATGCCCCTTCAGTCTGCGGGGAGTCCCGTTCCTGTCACCTCACATCAGGCCACGGTGGAAGTGGCTCCAGATGGGGGAATCCAGGGCCTGCTCTGAGGTCTAGATTCCTGGTGAGTCACCGGGCATGGGACTCCCTACACTAGGTCTACTACAGTTGTTTACCGGGTGTGTGCGCACTGACTCAACGCCACTTTCAACATTCTCATGAGCTGAACCTTAGGTCAAACTCGTTTACCACTTAGTAGTTTCCTAGCTCAAGTGCATGGGTTAAAGCTGATAAGGGCCAGTTGCTGTCTGTGCTTGCAGGGTCCCAGGCTATGTATTTCAAGGATGGAAATTTCCATCCTGGGGCTGCTAAGCTGCAGGACCCACATATGACTTTTTATATGATAGGAGACAGGGCTGTTAAAGCAGATAAGGTGAAGAAGAGTGATTCTTGCAGGATTTACCTGCTGTGGGTAGGCCACCTAGATTGGAAATCCAAGGACAACATGAGGGCAAGGGAAAGATGTTTGATCAAGAAAGGGAAGGGTTATAAGACAGTGTTCCCAAGATGCACTGGAAAGATTCACAGAGACAGTAGGCCGGTTTCTGGTCTTAGTAACACCCCTGTAAAGGTGGAGTAACTCCACTGAGTTCAGTTATGTCTTTGGGGAGTTACAGTGGTGTGACTGAAGGAGAAGTTTGGCCTTGGATGTACCAGGCAGAATGGCGCATTGTGACAATCCAAGCTGCTTTTTAGAACAATCATTTCCCCACAACCCCAATCCCCGTATTTTTGTTTTAATTCTGCATGTTCCTAGGGAAGCTAATGCCAGAACATGCATATTCCTCTTCTACTTAAGCATTACAATAGCCCAGTGCCCCCTGATGCTCTCAGACTGCTCAACAAAACTGCTGCGGCTGACTACCCTTTATCCAGCTCATTGGAAGGGGCTGTCTTAAGGTGCTGCCTCTTGCCCCTTCCCCACCCTCTGGATTCCTCATGGGGATGCTTGTTTTGTGGCCAGTCCCCAGGCTTTCTTCACTGTCCCTTTCATGATTCCGTGCTGTCCTAATCTCCATTTAGAAACTAGCAGACACAAAGGCTTGTCCCCTTCACCTCTCTTTTCACTGTGGTTTTATGATGATTCGGGAAAGGGGAGGAGGCAGCTCAGCCCACGGGTTCCTCCCAGTAACCTGGTCCCAAAGACTTCAGCTTGCTTTAACAGGGACTGAAAGGAGTCCTCCCCCCGCCTTTCAAGTCCATGTATTCCATTCACCAGACAGGGGGAGCCAGGCGGGAGAGAAAAGCAATTGCTCTGTCTGGAGGATGAATTGAGAGGAATTAAAAGCTTCCAATCTCCTGTCTCTGCACATTTGGGCATTTCACAGTGGCTTCTGCCGCTTGGCTGGCTGATTCCTTTACCCGGCGTGTGCATGCACTTGTGTGTGTGTGTGCACGCGCGGCCGTCTTCGCAGATGTACCCCCAGCTGTCATTCCACAGTGCTCTGTCTCTCCCTCCCCCTTTCGCTCGCTCGCTCTCTTTCTCCCCCTATGTATTATTTACAGAGGATTACAATCTCTTTTACATGCTGCCATCTAACCTTTCTTCTTCCCCGCACTTTGGGCACTGCTAGCAGCTGGGCATCCCGCAGGGAACAGTGGGCTGATGCCAACTAGAGTCCTTCAGGCACTCGCTTGGCTGTTGATAGCTTCTACGGGATTTGCTTTGGGTCTCGACGGGGGGTTTAATCGAAGGAGCCGGAGAACACAGAAGAGGGGCTGTCTGTCCCAGCCACAGAACAGTAAGTAGCGATGTTGCAAGTTGTATATTTGTGCCTGGATATTTGAAATCTTGCAGTGGGCTTTTGCCCAGAGTACTTTCTACCACAGGGAGAGGGGCTCGCAGGCACTGACAGAACTGCCTGTGACAAAGTACTGCTGAGACAACCTAGCAATGGGAGGCCATGGGGCAGCTGTTTTATTGACAAGACAGAACAGCAGATTCTGCCCGAGGGATGTATGGTACCAGTGCTAATTCACTTCAGGTGTGGGGGACTGGAAGTAGCTCCTGTCAGGCAGTACTGGCATGGAAATCTTTATCTGCATGGGCAGCTCAAATCTAAGTATAGTGCTGCTCCAGAGTACTCGGTGCTAGAACCAATAGGTACTGAATAAGCACCACAAAATACTGGCTGGCTTTTCATCCAGAGCAACCGGGTGGGATCTGAAACGAGGGGTGCTGCCAGTCTTGCCTGTGGAGGTTTCAGGAAACGTTTCTGGGCTGAGGGAAATGTCTAAAATGCAAACGTGAATGAGGACAGGATTGCGGAATGGAGGTATTGTCTAAGGACCAGTCCATATGAAATTTAGGCTCCAGTAAACAGGCCTTATATGGCAGGGCTCTTTCTCTTAGGTTTGTTTTTATTTGTGTGTCTTCTACCAACAAAGTACAGCAGGAAAAGCCTGTCACAGGGCGTGAACCCAATGAAGTTATGTCACAAGAACAGCCAAAAATAGAGCCAGAATTCTCTCCAGAGTCCCCAGAGGCTGAGCCCAGAGATCTGAGAACCTGTCAGTCTGAGGGTATCATGCTTCAGGGAGGAGAGACAATGGTGGAGAGAGACTCGTGGTCTTTTTTAGTCTCGTTCCTAGTGTGGCTCAGCGTGGGAGCAAAGGGTGCAGATGAAGGAAGACTTGAGAGAGCTGAATGTGAAACTTCTTCCTGATCCTGCCTCAAAGGGTGGAATATGTGTGCCTACACACGTAGAGGCGAACGTGTGCACACATGTATGTTACACAGCACTCTGGCCACAATGCCTACACTTCAGAGCCAGCCCATCACGCTCACTGCAGCTTATTTTAATTAGCAAGAGAAAATACCAAACCTACCCCTGGCCACTGAGCTGAATGCTCCCCTGATTGGGGGACACTTGGATTGAGGGCTCGTTAGAGAGAGGTGCCGCAGGAATGAGATCAGTATCTGGATCCAAGTCTCCCCCATCTTTTGATTGTTCAAATTTAATGTTCTGATTCAGATCCACGTATAATTTTAATATTACAGTTAGGAGTAAATAACATTGTACTTCTGGCCAGGATTGTTCTTGATAAGAGCTGGACCAGCTGCTGTCCAGAATGCTGTTACACAAGCAATTCACAGGAAGGAGGCATTTAATAATGTGGTCCCCTTTGAAGGCACATATATATATTTGTCACAAGACAAGGCACATTTTTATCACCCGAGGTCTCTCTGGAACCTCAGACTACTTTTCTCTGGGGTTTTATCACTAGGCTTTATTTGGGGTGACTAGATTTTCCTGTGACTGCTGTGGGTGAACATTGTTTGCTAGTGAATTATTCCAAATGAATGAAGAGCTGGAGGGAGCTGTCTCCCTGCCTGCTATTAATGCAGGCTCCATAAGTGAACACCATTCACCTGGGGCAGTTAAAGGTAAATCCTGGGAAAAGGCTTTTTTGAGGGGGGGAAGCCCAAACAATTTTCCACACCACAGACTGCGGTGATGCCTCTGCTTCCAACCAATGTGACTGCTGCTTGCTAATAGGGTGAATTAGCAACCCTGATATCTTAAGGAAGCATTCAAGGCTTTCAGCCCTTTGTCTTGCTTTTCAAATGTTCTTTCAGGATAACTATTAAGGATTTTCTGGGCTCTATAGGACTGGAAAACTGTAGTGGGAGGTTCAGAGGGGGGATTGGGATATCAATGTGGAAGTGAGGCTAGCCGTGTGTGATTGTGATAATGCAAGAGCTGGGAGATTCAGGAAACAGCACCAAGACAGTCAGGGGAGAGGCTCAGGCCTGGGATATCATAAAGGGGGTTCATGCATGGACGAGTGGGGTTTCAGGACAGAAATGAGGACTTCATGGAATCTCCAATATTTACCTGCTGCTGATTCAAAAGGAACCAATTCCTTGCCTCCATATGCCATATTTTCTTACAAGAGGCTGATGGGATGCTTAAATCGTGGCCTGACCCCTATCTTAGCCCCCTGATGCATTGCTTGACAACCTTGCTTTCTTTTACAGTCCAGTAATAGACATTACCTCACCCACCTTGTCTCTCTAATAGCCTGGGACCAACACCGCTACAATTACACTGCCTACAATCTTAACTTTGTCATTTCCTAACTTTGCAATGATTGACTTTGCAACCCATAAAACGGGGGTTTAAAAATACAATTGCCTAAATTTTTTTTTTACAAGGAGGAAAGAAAAGATGAGAGGTACATATAGAGTAACCCTCCCTCCCCCACCACATACCCCTGGTAGGATCTAACCCCCAACGTTCAGCCCTGCAGCACAGCTTGAACTACAGGACATTAGTCACTCACACAAAAAGGCTGTTATCCCTCCAAGGGGAGGAGAGAAGGGGGTCAATGGACACAAACACTGGGTACATGGGAGAGATTGTCTAGCTTAGCACAGCCCACTTGCCCCCCATTCCTACTTACCAATTGGGGTTCCCAGTGCACTGCGTGCTGCTACTTTTGGCTTGGCAGCAGCATGGGCCCTGGGCTTTAAAACATTGGTGTTGGATTTTGATGGCAGGCTGTACCTGGATGTACCTTTCTGTGGCTTAAAAACAAAGCTCCAGGCTTCAGAGCTGTCAGTCTGGAATCTTTCACAAACACTAACTTCTCTCAGAACATGAAGAGAAAAATAATAAAAAAAAAGACATTTTGCAGATCCACTGCCCAGCCCAGATGGACTCCACAGGCCACTGTGAAGCCCTGGGCTGTGTTGTATAATGCCCAGCCTGGCTGAGCTATCAGCAATGTTCTAAAGCAGTGCTCTGTGACACACATGCCTATCTCAATGATCTCCAGTTCCTTTGGAGCAGCAGGCTGTGATGTGCATCACCCATGGGCTACATAGACATTCCAGGCATTTCTCTGGAAATATCCCCCGTGGAGTTCGCTTGGGATAATGGTAGGGGAGATGCTTCAGGCTCACCCTGACTGTGAAACACAAAGAGAATTTCACGGTCAGGGTGAAGCAAAATCCATGCAGATAACTGATGCAGTACAAAAGAATTGGCAACAGGACTTTTTCAAAGTTCAGCGCAAATTTAGTAAAATGCAAGGGTCGGGGTCAGCCTTTTGCTGGGATTTTTGCCAGCAGTGATGGGGCACTGAGTTGCAACTCCCTTTGAGATGGCAGCCTAACTGGATTATCACTGCTTACATCTCTTACTGTGCCGCATCACTGTGTGCGTAACACTGGCTATTTGATCACTATGGGGGCATACGCCCCAGTAGCTTTGCTTTGGATGTTAAGCCAAGTTCAGGACCCCAGTGAGGCCTTTCCCTTCTCCCACAATATTCCCCTATCTGAAACCCCTGCAGCTGACTATTCATGCAACTGATGCTCTGATTCCCACTGGACAGCAGCCAAGTGCAACGCAGCCAGTTGGACTGGGTGGAGATGAGTAGGAACGAAGCGCTAACTCAACAGCTTGTGCAGCAGCAATTCTTTACTCACAAGGTTCACGCTACCAAGAGGTAGATTCTGCTCCCAGGAGTGAAAGTGACAGAGCCCAGTCAAGAGCTGGTAAAGCTACTCCTGACACATTTCTGAGCTGGTGGCTCTGGCCGCTTTCGGCAGACTGTTTAAGGAGCTGGCCAGAGCTCTATAACTCTGATTGACAGATAAGCTGTCTGGCTCTCGTTCAGTCAGCAGGGGGCTATTTTGTGTACCAGAATCAGAGAGGTTGGCTGCCACGAGCTATTCTGCTCATCAGACCTAGTCAGTAGGTGGCCTGGGCAGGGAGGTTAACGCTGGAAGGCCCTGGACCCATGTCAGATTTAATAGGGACTAGCAGGTGTTGACAGGAAAATTCCTTTCTCTGTCTCCAAGCCAGGAACAGTGCCGGCAGCAACCGTGGGAGAGACTCCTACATTGGAGAAAGTCCCATTGGCCAGAGATGTGGCCTAACGCTCTGAGCGCAGAGCAGTGAAGCAAGAGCTCTTGCATTCTAGCGTTGAGCCTACGGCCAGAATTTTCAAACCTGGATGCCTCAAGTGAGGTGTCTAAAGGAAAGTGGCCTGGTCCTCACAAATGTGGAGCATCTGCACTTGCTAGCAGCTCAGCCCCTTTGGTAGGGGGACTTAAAGGCTGCATCTGAGGCTTTTGTCGTCATGGAAGAGTCCACAGCAGGTGGACGGCCATTCCCTATCCCTTGGTTCCATGCATGTCACTGCGCAAGGACACCTCTTTTTCTAGGCCTTTGAGTGTCAGCCAGACAAGAAGGTGGAAAATGCCATTCTCTGAGGTGAAAGCACCATCCCCTTCTCAAATAACACCCCTCCTCCCACAGGGCATGTGGCACTGACCTAACCTTGGTGAGGGGGGAAAGCTTTACAAGAGACAGGGAGGAGCATTTTAAACTCCAGCAGATTAAGGGGCACAGCCAGGGTGCAGAGGGGGGAGAAGGAGCAATCCTCAGTCTCCATCAGGCCTGCTGAGCTCAGAGTGGAGGCAATCCTTCTGTCACAAACCTGAGTGAGAGGATTAAAGGCCTGAGCCACTGCCGGCCATGGGATTAACCCCTGCAGGAAATTAAAGCTGTGGTAGAGAAGGCTCTTCCCTCCACAGCTGAGAGAAAGAGAGAAATTGGGATTTGGATTAGAATTGGCAGGCCCGGTGACAAGCTGCCACCCACATGCAACTGTTCCTGTTTGGATCAGAAAACGATATCTCCAGCCTCGGATGGAATCCCCCTGCCTGCTGCACTCTTATTAATTTTCCTCTGAGTCAGGAGAGCAATAACGCTTCTCCGCACTCAGTGCAGAAGACAAGGAAGCCAGGTCACCTGCTTGTGTGTGTGTCTCCTGAGCCTCCCTCCTGTTTCCTCACCTTACCTGCCTCTCTCTCACTACAGGAAATATACATGTGATCTGTATTATTCAGCCTGACCCTAAGTAGATACATGGTTGGATTGCTCCCTGTCAATAGCCCCCTTACTCTCCTTTTCCTGCTGCACTGGGCCTTCTCCAAATGCCTCACCCTAGCTGCTCTGTGCCTCTCATGGCATTACAGAGTTGGACACCCCCAGTCTTCCCCCGCCACACACACACTACTCTGCACCTGCTTCCTTAAGCTGCACCACACATCAGACACTCTACATCTTCCTCTTCTCCAGCTGCTCTGTATAACTTCTTCAGGCTCCTTGAATTTTAAAGTCTCCACCACTCTAGCTTCTCTTGTCTGTCTGACTGTTAGATGTGGTGAGCTGGGGTTTTATTTAGGGTGGTGATAAAAATAATGCTTTCCTGGTTAAAACTCAGAACCAAGAGTCGGGAACTCTGGGCTCTAGCCCTGGCTCTGGCTACAGGCTCATGTGGGAGACCTCTGGCAATTTGCTTAGCCCCCACACTTTCAAAGGGGTCCACTTCATGCTGGGTGCTTCATGTTTTAGATGCCCAAAGTGTCACTCTTAGCTCTACATGATTTCAGAGGGAGCTGCAGGTGCTCAGTACCTCTGAAAATCAGGTATCCCAACCTAGACACCTCACATTTGAGAGAGGCAAAATTTCTGAGCATGTTTGAAAATTCAGGTCTCAACTTAGTCCCCCACCTCTGCAAACTGGGGAGAGTAGTGTTCCTTTTCACCGCGATGCTGTGAGACTAAATTCATTAATGTTTGTTAAACACGTGAAGATCCTTGGATGTCAAACGCTATAGAAATGCCAAAATATAATTAATTCTCATTCCCTGATGTTGTGCTTCACTGAGCCAATACCCATGTCTATGCCTTAGCTGAGCCTAGGTACTGGGAATTCAAAGATAGCTCTTTGACATCAGCATACACATACTTGGGAATAGAGAAGAGAGTGTAATTCATAACAAATAGCTGATCTGACAGAGTCCACCTTTTTTCTGTTTGCAAAATGTCTGTGAAGGGCTCATGAGTTTCTTGAGATTATTCAGTGGAATTTGTCATTAATTTTGCTTACTTTAGGTCTTCCTATTGGACTCCTATGGGCTGCTTAATTGTGACAGATCAATACAAATTACATGGTGGTGTTTTACATGCCTTGTTGGATGAATATCTCCTATAATCAGGTTTTTGATATGAATATATCATCTCTTTTCCGGAAGTATTTGAGTGCGAGTGTTTATTGTCCACTTTTTGTGAGCATGTGTGTTAATACAATGAAAGTTTGCAGAAAACAATCCCCAAGATATATAGATTGGAAACTCTTTGGAACAGGGACTGTCTCTTATTATGTGTTAGTACAGCACCTAGCACGGTGGGGGTCCTGTCCTTGACTGGGACTTCAGTGTGCCATTGTAATGCACATACATAAATAATAATAAACCAAAAAAGTGGCTATGGCAGCAGCAAATAAGCTTAAAATACGAATATTCATAGTCAAATTTTGCAGTCTTTTGCATCCAGGTTTCTTCGGATGACACGGATAGTTTCACACTCGTGTCACCTTCCCACCTTGGGCACTGTTCAGGGAAAATGGACCTACATAGGATTCATCAGCCAGTTGCTTAACAAGTTGTTTTAATTGCTTTCATTGGTCTCTGCCTTCATCCACGCCTGGTGCCCAGCCTTGCCCTCCTGAGGATGACTGAGGTTGTGCAGAAATACCATTTTAATCACTGCAAACAGGGAGGTGCCATCATCCCCTTTCCTTTGGGTGGGTCTCAGACTGCAGTGAGACATGAATCTTAGCAACAACAGTCTGCCCAAAGGAGGAGGGGGGAAAAAAGATAATCTCCTTAAAGCATCCTCCATTCATTCCCTAACCCTGCTGGATTCCAGATAAAGGCTAAAGCAATTTAGCACTGGAGATGGACTTTCCTATCACTCATCAGCCGCTGCGTGTTTGTATGCGCGCACTTCCTGTAATTTATTGCTGACATCTGCTGTAGCCTCTATTACCTACACTTCCCTAACAGATGTCACCCGTGTCGCCAATGATACAGGCTGTGTCAGGGGCCTGATGTGGGGGCGGTGAGCTGAGTATTAGAGGAAAGGCCTGTGACTATTGGTTAAAGGATTCCTGGGCTGTACTTGGCAAGCCATTTGACCACTAGGTGACTGAGTATAATAAAATAAGAATGATGCAGTTCCTCTCTCTCAGGTACTCAGAGTAGGACTCAGGGCTGATGTTCGGAAATGCTGAATGCCCACCACCCAATTGGCAGGTCAGTGGGAGCTGCAGGTGCTCAGTACTTCAGAAAATCATGCCCTTCGTTGATTAACTCCATGATAAATAGCAAGCGAAATGAATGTTTGTGAAACACATGGAGAGCCTTAGACAGAAGGTGTCCAAGAATTGCAGGAACACCACACAGAGGCAGAAGACAGGTCCGCAGAGATTCTCCTCTTTCACAATCCATGTTCTTGGAAGGTTTTGATTCAGCCCAAACACAAGGCTTTACAGTGCTAATGAACCAGTCGCTAGTGGCAGAACTGGAAGAGGGGAGGCGAGGGGAGTGGCAGCAGAAACTCCTGCTGTAGCTTTTATACACAGGGAGGCCTGACAACAGTTGCAGAAGCAATTACAGTGAAATGTTCTATAGCTTTAGGGTTCTCTAGAAACTTGGGTTCCCCAAGGGAGCTAATAAGGATGAGAAGGGGCTCCACAGGGAGCCCAAGTGGTGGACTGAATGCCTGAGTGGAGCTTCGGCTCAGTGTATTGCTGGGAATTGCAACACAAGGCCAGTGATAGATTGACTCGTTCTACGGATCTGAGCTGAAACTGAAAAATGCTGTTGCAGGGCTTGCTCTGTCAAAGGCACAAAGAAAAAGCCACTGAATGTGGAAATGGAAGAATGCATTGGACACAGTATCTTAAAGAGCACAGAGCATCTACTGGGCTCGGGATATAGTATCCTAGAGCCCACAGGAAATCCAGGATAAAAGTGACCCCAGGTCTCTGGAGTACGAGAGGTGTTGATCGCTCAATGCAAAGCAGCCTTGAGTTGGCAGATCCAGCCACTTGAGGGTTTTCCTTGTGAAGGGGAATCCCAGGTCGCTTACAGCTGCCACGGTGACTCTTCTAACTTCAGGTGCTGGGGAAATAGCTGGGGTACCTCATGGCTGCCTGACCCCTGGCTACTGGAAGAGCCCCAGGTGGTTGCTTGCTTCTTGCATGAGAGAAAGCAACATGAAGGCATATGTTGGCGGTCAGAATGCAGATATTTGTGCATGTCTGTACAAGACACAGGTGTGTATGAATGTGGGTCACATGTCACTCAGGTGTATGTGCACATACACACACACATGCATGTATGTGCTTTTGCCCATGGAAAACATATTTGCAATCATGCATAAAAGTGCATGCATGTGTCTGGACACATGAACAGGACTACAGATGATTATGTGTGTGAGTGTATTTGTGGGTGGGTGGGTACACAAATGTTTTGGTCATATCTGTGTGCTCACTTGTTCATATCACAGGTCCATGGATGGGCACATGTGCACAAGCACATATATTCACAAAAGTGGCATGCAGGTATGTTTACACGCAGGCTCATGATGAATGTTTACATCACATGCTCATGCAGGGGTATGTGTGCCATATGTCTTTACATAGTCAGCTGGGCCTATAGGCACATCCATCCCTGTACATGTTTCAGGGTAGGAGAGAAAATTAAAGCCTGAACAGGTGTTAATCACTAGACATGACAATAAATTCTAATCACAGGGAAAGGCTCATTTATACACATCTCCTCCCCCACTCCCACGTGGTGTGCTTGAGTCTGGCCAATGTATCACTGGAAGAGGAGCCTATGATGTACCAGAATTTAACACCTGAACTGGATGCAGTAGGCAAGAGCAAAGGGAACTAGAGCCAGACACACCGACTCTATCACTATCCCAGTGCTCAAATGCTGCCAACATTGCTAGGCGCCCTCACCACATACTGGGCATAGGAATGGAGCGGAATGATTACAGAGGCGATCCAGGGGGTGAAAACATTACCTACTAAACTGATGGGAGGGGGTAAGGAAGGAAGCACCCAGGAAGATTTTTATAGTTTAGAGCCCCTGATTGGAGCTGAGCCAGATAATACAGATGGGTGTTAACAAACTAACAGGCTAGGAACAGAGCTATCTGTACCACAGGCAAAGTTAGATGGGGCAGAGAGGTGGGGGAAGAGAAACAGAGTGGTACACTTCCCCTGCTGCATAAGGGAAGGACAGGAATATTAGACAACAGGATTTAAAACTGATCAACAGTAGCTATCCTGCAGCCAGATAAGTCTCAGTGGCTGTCAGCTTAACTCTGTCATTTGTTCCTGTGGTGTAGGGAGTTAAATAGGACACAGAGAAAGCCTGTTGGCTGGGAGTTGAAGTCAAGGAGGGAGAGAGAAGAGACTGCATTTGGACAGTGCCCAGGGAGTCGGGTGGAAGCAGCTGCAGGCAAAGCCCCTCCAGGTAAGTGCTCTTGGCTTTTCACTGTTCCCACTGATAAAGCGAGACAGACTGAGGGATTTCCGAGGCTGCACAAGACAGAGCTATGGCTACAAACGGTGTGAAAGCACCTCTCTAAACCCAGCAAGCAGACATACGGAATGGGGGCAGCTATTTTTCAGCTTTTCCTTCAGCTGCAGACTGTAGGCAAGATAGTCCAGCTCCGTTGTGGGGTGGTGTGGGGAGTCTTTTTGGCATTGCTGCTGTTAATGCGTCTTGTGCCTTGGCATTCTGATATGATTATCTACAACAGCCTGGCAAGATGTACCAGCCCAGGCACTAAATCTGCTCACCCTTCTTCCTGAGGCAATAATTAAAATACCTCCTGGTGTTTTGCTTGCCATTGAAAATAAATCAGTCACTGGGGGGGCATGGGCAGGTGGAATTGATGCACGTGTGTTGGGAGAAGATGCCCTGATAAGTGTATTGTGCACATCTAAAAATAAAGGCTCAGGGCATTGCCAGAGCCCTCTGCGGGGCGGTGGGGGAAGAGGGATATTAAGCATCAGTGGGAATTTGTCCAGCTAACCCCTGCTGCCTTTGAAACAGAAGGCAAAGGAACAGAAGAGTCTGCAGAGCTTCCATCTTCCCTACCCTTCTCTACCTCTGAATAAAAGCAAGCAAAGGAGAGAGTGGGGGGACCTGTTGTCATAGTCACTTATTGTCATGGGAGAGCTTTTAGTCTGTGTTTCTTATTAGGAGGAGCATTTTTCTTCTTCTGAGACGTAATTCCTCTCCTTCCTCCCTCCCATTCCTGGTCCTCCCTTCTGTGACGAGGCTCCTATTCTGCTCACTTGCTCTTTGGCTCTTACCTCTGCTGCAGTCTGAAATCCCCAAGCTGATGAGTTGTGTTATATACATCCTTGCTGGAGATGGCATATCCATTTTACCTCCAAAGGGAAAGGACACATTTGCAAGGACGAAAGGGAGCTTGGCAGTCACCCCTGTGCCTACACCATTCCAAATCTATGTCACAGGGGACAGATGCACAGTCAGTAACAGCATGTTAGTGGAGGGCAACCAAAATGATTAGGGGGCTGGAGCATATGACCTACGAGGAGAGGCTGAGAGAGCTGTGTCTGTTTAGTCTGCAGAAGCAAAGAGTGAGGGGGGATTTGATAGCAGCCTTCAAGTTCCTGAAGGGAGGTTCCAAAGAGGATGGAGAGAGGCTGTTCTCAGTAGTGATGGATGGCAGAACAAGGAGCAATGGTCTCAAGTTGCGGTGGGAGAGGTCCAAGTTGGATATTAGGAAAAACTATTTTACTAGGAAAGTGGTGAAGCACTGGAATAGGTTACCTAGGGAAGTAGTGGAGTCTCCATCCCTAGAGATATTTAAGTCTCGGCTTGACAAAGCCCTGGCTGGGTTGATTTAGTTGGGATTGGTCCTGCCTAGGGCAGGGGGCTGGACTTGATGACCTCCTGAGGTCTCTTCCAGCTCTATGGTTCTATGTGTGTGGTGAGAAGAGAAACTGAGGATTACTGCTGGGTCACCTCAGGATTCCACAACACTAACGTTTAGTGTGGGACAACTTTTGCTAGTACATTTACCCCAGATTTTCCAGGGCAATGAAAACCTAAGCCAATCCTGATCAACTCAGCATCCAAGTGAGCAGAGCCTGATTTGAATAGAGTGTTCCACATTGAATTAACCTTCTTCCTTCCTCTCACTTTGCACCCTTCTTCTCTTAAACAGTTTGCCATCCCGTTCCCAAAGGTGAAACTTGACTGGCGAAGGAAACAGAATCCTGGAGCCTGTCCCTGTCTCCTCCAGTCCCTAGAGAACTGAGAACCATGTGCTTCTTCTTTTTCTTTTAGGATCTGACAGGTAGGGCACCCAGATCGCTCCTTCGTCCTGTGAGAACGTGTGCCAGGCTGGCAGGAGGACGGGAAGCCACGCTATAGAAAACAGTGACCATAATGCTGCCTGGGAGCCTTGGCCACTGGTGGAGGAACAAGTTTTCCATGAGGTGGCAACAGACTTGCTGTAAGTGCTGCCTGTTTGGGAAATCAGGTGCTAAGTGCGGTGCTCCTGTGTTTCAGGGGACAGGAGGGAAAATAGGTTGCCACAGGGTAAGGATAGGGGGCAGCTACATTCTGAGACAGCTGAGCTACTTCCCAGATCCCAAGGAGCTGAGTGAACAGCTAGGATGGCTGTGAGAAGCTATAATACTAAAGATGAGTTTAAGGAGGGAGGGTCTGGAACGAGTGTTTCTGATTTCCTGTTGGACTGGGTCTGGGGAGAAAGAGAGGGATGGATACTAGTGCACAGCTGCTGTCCAAGGGCCACATAGAACATCTGTCAGCTTCAGACTCTGCAAAGAGCATATATCTCCCCACCTTCTCTTTGTCAGCCCAGGTAGTACCTGTGTTGCAAGGCTGCTGGTTCTTTGGGCAGGAAAGTGCTGTAGTATGTTTTAGATCAGAGAAGTGAACAGCAATTCTGTCTTTGGGACACTGCCCCACATAGATAAATCAAGGAAGAATATATCCCAGCTCTCATCCCAACTCTCCTTCCCATTCACAGCTAGCAAATTAATGTTTTAGCTGGTCCATCTTCCCACTGAAGGGTCCATGCAGGGGCAGCTGCTCTGTTGTCCCAGAGTGTAGAACATATGCCTCCAGGGCACTCCAAAAGCAGCAGCAGTAGGTCTTCCAAGAGGGTGGGGATCTGTACTTCAATGGGGAGTCTGGCAATTGCAGTAAAGGAAAGAGAGGGCCTTTTACAAAATGGCCGTCACTAATGAGAACCCAGGCAGTCACACAGGTTTACAGTCCCCCACCTAAAATTCCGACCTCGGGCTGCCACTGCAAGAAGGTGAAGGAATTATTTCCTTCTCTGTAGAAGGCCATCTTTGTAATCCATCCGTTCCAACTAGATTGCTACATAAATTATTTACTGTGAATGTTACCGAGCCCTGACCTAATCTGATATTCCTGGCTCAGCTTTCTGCCACCTAGCAGGGTCACTGAACA